AAAAAAAAAAAAGTTGTCTCAAATGAAACCTTCAATCTCCTCCTCAAATTCTCTTCTTCCTCTTCTCGCCGGCTTCGTTCTTCAGCGAAGGAACCAACAAACATTTCCTGTTCCTTATCCATTTTATCCAAAATTTGCTTGGTTTCTTGAAGCTGGAAAACCAAATTTTACAAATATATTATTTAAATGAACGGCTCGGTTAAAAAGGAAACAAAAGATAACAAATTTAATTTGTAGGACACTCCAACGTTCACAAAATTTGGCAAAAATATATATAAAAAGGGGTCATTGAGAAAATAGAAACTCGGGATAGTACTTGCCTGATTTTGCAACGAACCGTTCTTTTCTTTTTCATACTGCAAATCCTGCAGCGCATTGTTCAAACTGCAAAAAAATGGAAAATGAAGGGGTTAGTTATTTAGTTAGTTAGTTAGTTAGTTAAGACGGGAAAATGACGAAAAATAGAAATGCACGATTTGAGCACTAAGAAAGAAGCTGATATTATAGCTCACTATATTTAGTCCAAAGAAAGAAAAATGACCTGCTTCTCAAGCTCAGATTCTCCTCTTTCAACTTGATAACCGCATCAGTGATGGAGGCCAAAGCACCAGATCCAACACTGTTGTAGCCTTCTGTCTATTTTATTCCATGGATGATTAGTTACTCATTCATTCTTATTTATTATTTTAGTATATGAAAGCAGAGAAAACACAAATGAATGACTAAGTGGACTAAAAAAGGTCTGGTAAAAACTACCTTGATTGGCAAATTTACAGAAGCTGTGCCCGATTCTGGTCTAGGGCTATTTATGTGTCGGGCCTCAAACTGATTCCTCCGTGAAACTCCATCAGGAGATCTTTGTTCGTTCTGATTGGAAGAGTTATGTTGCTTGTTCAGGTTCGTATCATATGTACAATTGTTCTTATCTTTGACACTAGGTGAAAAGTTTTTATCGGGGGAAACAGACTTCTTTAGATTACGTCGTTGAGCATAGCCAATGAGCTGGCATTGTGAGGACCTATTCACGAGATTTTGTAAATACTAATAATGAAAATAATAATAAACAAAGGGGAAAACCCGGTATTTAAAACGAGGTGCACAAACCAGTAAGTTTTCTGAAAATGTACGAGTCGAGCCTCAAGTCTAGAAAGTGCAGTTGTACGCTCAAATCCCTGTTTATCGTGTGCTGGCTCAATGAAGTTAGCTTGCAAAACACCTAAGACAATAATCAATTATGTCAGTTTAAATCAAAATAGAGAAAAATAGTGATAAATACGGGACAATGGCATCGTGACACTCATAAGTTTTTACCTATTACTCCACGACCATCACTTCCTGCTGCATTCCATACCCTCCAGAAAGGCTGAGAGGATAATTAATTTTTTTAAAAGAAAAAATGAGAAATGACTTCCATATAATACATGTATCCATAGGGACATAAAAGAAAAAATTAAAAAGGCCGAAATCGGACCTACCTTGATAAGTCTATTCTTATGATACACGTTAAACCCTTGAACATCAATATGATGAGCTGCATCCTTAATAAACCCGAGTGTCACAGTTGCTGACATCTATTTGTGACAGAACATACACAATTAAAAAATTAAAGGTTAGCAAGCGAGTTAAAAGTGGTCATCTAGGCTTGTGACAAAAAGTGAGTGTACGTACGTAAATTTATAAAGCATTTAATAAATTACATTTGGATCCTTTGGTGCTGCATCTGCATAAGCTGCCGGCCTATATACAAGTTCTTTGGTGTGCATCATATCATCAATTATATTATGATGATCAACGTCCTTCCCTCGTAAGATGATATGGAAACTTGGGGGAAGGTTTAGGTACAAAATCGAGGTATAGCTCTAAAAAATAAAGAACAAAAAATAATCATCATCAGATATGAAATGCAATGCAATGAACATGGCAGAAGTTTAAAAATTAACCCATGATATGAAATGCAATGCAATGAACATGGCAGAAGTTTAAAAATTAACCCATCATAATAGAACAAATAATTTAAGACTTTGGAATTATACCCTCAATGAATGCCGATATGTAAGAAAATGCCTAGAGCTCGAGAAAACTTTCGCCATCTCTATCTTTTTGTCGTCTCTATTGACACCTCTGATTTGAATATCCTGCAGAAAAAGGAGAATGAAAAATGTGAATTTCTACTTACTGTATCTTTTTGCCCCCCATATTGAAATATCTATGTCATTGGAAGAAAAATAAGAGAGAGAGATATAAAAAGAAAATAGGAAAAAAAAATTAACAAGCAGGGAAAATTTAAGAAGTTTACATGTGGGTCAGTGTCGAAATCCAGCTCGAGCAATCCTTGTTCGTCCTCCCAGAGATTATAAATTATGATACGTGTGCCTTGATTGTTCAAGAAATCAAACTAGAGGGAAATATAAATGAAGTCCATGATCAAAGTTTTAGATAACTATAAAACATAACATAATCCACCCGAATATGAAAATACTACCTGTCCAAGAAGATCTTCTTCACTTTCATATGGGGACCACTGCACAATGGTATCAATATTTCTTTGCCAACATTCAGCGGATGACTTCACACACTTATTCCACGTCTCCCCCACTTTCTCATAATCAATCTGTTCATACGCATTAACAAGTCATACTGTAACCAACAGAACTAAAAAGACCATGTGAAACTGTTAAAACATTAGAAATTTGCCGAAAGCATGATAGTGATTAATGAGGGACAAAGCTATATGATCTATATTTAGTAGTAGGAACATATCAAGTTTCTTTCCATCAAATATTTAGCTAGTCTTATATTTTCATTCAAGATGAGTGCAACAAGTCAAATTTTATTTAGAGAATTCCAAAATAAAAAAATAAAAAAATACCATAGGAACTACTATATCTTCCTTGCCCGTACTCCGCAAAAATGTATAAGACAGCAATCCAATACTTTGTGTTGCCCTACAAGTCAAATGGAATTACCATAAATTATACTTTTAACCCGAGTCAAAGCTTTTGACAGAGAATGCAACCACTAGTGTAAAAGTCTAAAGCTAAAATTGGCACAAATACAAAAACTGATGTAAAAATAATGAAAGAAAGTACCTTCCTCCATATCCTCTACAACGCGAAAACACAATGACATCTGCCCCGAGCCTCATAGTACTAGTCTTAAAGCCATTACCATCTGCGTTGTGTAAAAATGTGACTTCACATGTAAGTAAGACTTATTTACTATTATTGGCTTGGCTATCACCAGAAAACTGTATTTGCTCACACTGTCCAATTGTGTTTGCCATCTTGCTCTTATCAGAATACCCAAGGGACATGCACTGCCGCATTTTACCCGGAGTCATGCCACCTCCATCATCTACATCCATAAGATTATTGCTCAAGTGTAGACAAACTATGCATTTCAAACTTTACAAACTACTTGTAACATGTGCCAAAAAGTGTCGAAAAGCGGAGTCGGCTTAACTGAACAAGATACACGAAAAAAATGGAAGAGGCATGAACACGATTTAGCAAGCGACCATGAACATGCAAATTAGATAAAAACATTTAACTACTTGGTCTAATAAACTATCATCCAATTCAATCCTTGATAACCACCGGAACGTTTCCGTAAATTCAGGACATACGTAAGATAAGCTATAATAATACCTTGAACCAACACCATTTTGTTGTTGTCCTCCAAGTTCTCCAGCACATCAACTAGGACATAGGTAGCTCCATTGCAGTCCTGATGAGTGATGACAAATACATGTATACCACTGATCCATCAACCACAAATATAGAAAAATTGAAGACAAAGCCCTTTAGTAAAAAAAAATAATAATAAATTTGATGTGAGTACCTCATCTAGTGAGTTGTCTAGAAGTTCAGCAAAAGCTGAGAATAGAAAACAATCCATGGTTATACCAAAATACCAACTTGAAATAAAAGTCTAATTTCATAATTTCGTATTTTTTTTTTCTTCTTAAAAAAAAAAAAAAA